GTTCTGAGGGTGCGAGGGGAGGCGGAGCCTCCTCTCGGTGGGCCGGGTTATTGTCTCCCTGTTGCTAACTCATCGATCTAGTCGTAATTACCATGGATTAAAGAGTAAAAAACCTAGTCATTTTTCACAAACAGTGCCAAACTGATGATGCAGAAATTGGTTTTGTGTAAGATCAATAGTCAAGTATATGAAGAGATGCAATTAATGAGCAGTAAATAAGATAATCAATGACAAAATAGTAAATAAGAGCAAACGCGCAGATATATAGTGGTTCAGTCCGGATGACCTATTTTACTCTCGGGAACGGCAGTGGTGGCCGGAAGTCTTTTATTGATANAAGATAATCAATGACAAAATAGTAAATAAGAGCAAACGCGCAGATATATAGTGGTTCGGTCTGAGTGACCTATTTTACTCTCGGGAACGACAGTGGTGGCCGGAAGTCTTTTATTGATAAACAAAGTAATCGGAGGAGTATGTTCTGGGAGAATTACAATGCTTTAGGAATTAGGAGAGAGAAACTTGGTGTGTAGAAGGGTGTGTTGAGATGTCAAGGTATGTTGAGGTGTCCCTTCATGTGGAGAGAGCTTACAATATATAGGTTTGATAAGATGGTGAGATGAGGGAGATGACACTACTATTTTGGTAAGTACAATTACGGTAAGATTTGATCTCCATGAGTGCATATCCTGATATTCTCTCTTCCCACGTACTTCTATCTTCCTGGACTCCTTGGGTTTTGAACTGGGCAGATTGGCAAAATTGGCCTAGGCCGCCATTTAACTGACTTGGATCTTCTTGATTTATTGGGCCTTGCCCAGTTGATTTTGGGCTCGTCAGATATCATTCTTGAAGTGTATGGAGGACAAGGCTCTCTGTTGTGTATTTCGGTACTTCTAATTGATTGTCACTNAGGGTGTGTTGAGATGTCAAGGTATGTTGAGGTGTCCCTTCATGTGGAGAGAGCTTATAATATATAGGTTTGATAAGATGGTGAGATGAGGTGGTGAGATGAGGGAGAGGACACTACTATTTTGGTAAGTACAATTACGGTAAGATTTGATCTCCATGAGTGCATATCCTGATATTCTCTCTTCCCACGTACTTCTATCTTCCTGGACTCCTTGGGTTTTGAATTGGACAGACCGGCAAAATTGGCCTAGGCCGCCACTTAACTGACTTGGGTCTTCTTGATTTATTGGGCCTTGCCCAGTCGATTTTGGGCTCGTCAGATATCATTCTTGAAGTGTATGGAGGACAAGGTTCTCTGTTGTGTATTTCGGTACTTCTAATTGATTGTCACTTTTGTTTATTATGTTTGTGAAGCATCTGTAATATTTGATAACCGTTGACCTGTTTAGGCTTCTGTTGATTGTTGATTAACCACTGCTCAACTTAGACATTAATCTTTTTAACTCTGCCAATCTCGCATCAAGGTAAGTTAAGCCTATATTACCAACATTGCCACCTAACAATTTAAGATTTAATTAATGAAACATGATGGTGTGTTGTGCACAACTGAACAGAGAAGTTAAAGTCCAATTAAACAGATAATGAATAGATAGTTTATAATAGTTAATCAGTTCGGAAGTTTGGCTAGTCTATTTTAGTATAGTTTTTGGCTTTGGGGAGTTTTCTATTGATCGGGGAGAATAGTCCTATAATAAGTTGGATTGTTTTACAAAGAATGAAAAGAAAATATTCATTGGTCCTGTAATAAGTTGGATTGTTTTACAAAGAATGAAAAGAAAATATTCATCGGTCTGTCAAGATTTTCATCTTTGACAAAGAAGAAAAACAAAATAAATAGAAGAGGAAGAAAAAGCTAAATAATATATTTCTATAATCAACTTACTTTATATTTTTTGTGTTCAAATCACCCTATGTTTTTGTGATCAATTTTGGTTTGGTGATTTGATATCACAATCACTTCTATAGGAGTATTATGCAATTTGGTTTCCATGCTTTATGATCAATTTGTGATATCTGTCTCTGTTAAAGAATCACAAAAATGCTAAATAATTTCATTATTATAAAAAGGAAATTATTATAAAAAGTTTTGTCTTTTTTCATTATTTCTTAGTTAAAAGCAATTTTTCTCTTTGTGTTTTTATGTTCTTCGTGTGATGTCATGAGATGAAGAAACTGAGGTGAAAAAGTAATATGAAGTAAGAAGGACTATTGCATTTGAAATTTTAAAGACACAGTCATATTATTTAAAATTTCACTGCTACCCCTGATGAGTTTTTTCAACTAACATGGTTAATGTCAAATGTTTTTTACATATTATGTTGAAAGAATATAGCACATATAATTTGGAGCATTAGTGCAAATTCTTTTTTTTTTTTTTTCTTTTTCTTTCGCGTACTCTGTTCTCATTCTTTGCCTCAAACAAAAAAATGGTTTAGTTGTTTATATATTCGTCGGAAATGAAAATCAGTATCTATGTTTTCAACTTCGTGCAGACTCACACTTATAAACTAAACATCGAAATCCAAAGCCTTCTGGTCTGTGGTAATGTTGAAGGCAGTCTTCTTGGCAGGCAATGCAGTAAATATGAAACAAGCTTGAGTAACTTATATTTAACCTTAACGATCACTCATTATAGTCTTAATTTATCTAGAATTAGACAGTAGCAGATGTCTTCAATTCATGTTATATAACACAAAATTTTTCAAGAAGTCGTTTGCATTTTCTTTTCTTCCAATTTTCACACCTAACATGGTTAACTGCCCTGTAGTGTAACGTGCTATTTTCTCTTCCTCTAAACATGTCCAACTTAAACATGCTATCCACTTTGAAGTTCATGTGTCCTTGCCTGTGTATAGTGATATGATGATGCTTATCTTTAAATACCAAATACCTTTTAGTGACTTAGAAAAATTCTTTTGTTTCAAGATATGATTAGGACTCGAGGTTTGTTTTTCAATTGACTTATCAAGTGATTATCAATAGCTTCATTTCTGAGGTGCTTGGCAGCCAGAAAAAGGGTGCTGCCCTTTAGCTTCATTGTAGAGCTGTGACAGTTGAGAATCGAACATTTGGATAATTCCATAAGTTTCTTCCCATGCGACTTGGAAACCTACCTTATTACAGAAAGGGATTTCAAGCTCTCTAAGCTGAGAGGAAAAGTTCTAGCAGCAATATCATCCTGCTATCTCCCATTCATGTAGCACCAACTACCACTACAACCACATGCATTTGTTTCTGAGAGAAGTGGGTGGTGATCATTAACAATTATAAGCAATAGAGAAGTTGATGATCATAAGAAGAACAAGCAGTATCCTTACAAGATTGCCTTTATCAAGTGCAGAGCAACTTGCATGATTATGGGCGTCTCTCTAATTTGTGGCTGAAACTGCAACTGGGATATTGTTCTGACAATAATGTCCATGATGATGGAACTGTTGATTGTATCACCGGTAGGCACTTCCAATTTTACAGATTCAATTCGAAGATCACAGCCAGACCACACAGGATTTGGGAGACGTAATTGTTTTGAGTGCGCCATTTGCAAAAGTTGGATTTCTTTGTGGATATTAAGGTACAATGAGGTAAGCCCACATTGAGGTGGATTTTAATATCATATCCGAATAAAAGATTGCCTTGATTGAATGTGCAAGGATAAGAATTATTTAGCTGGTCTTTTCATAGAAAAGAAAAAAAAAAACACAGAAGCTTTATTTTCATTTATGCTCTTTATGGTCCCTGATTTTGCTATGATTCTTTGTTAATTTGTTGCTTGATAATTGTCCTTGAGAAAATCCTTGTGGACCTGTACGAAGTTCCTTTACTTGTGATTTTTCGATAAACTAGTTTAAGCATATATTTCTGTAAATAATGATGCAAAAGTGATAAAACAGAGTATTGTTGGTGATCCCCTGAAGATGGAGCAGGAAATATACAAGGAGATACTCTCTCTGTACTTCATAATCTTTATGAAACTGGTCACTTTATACAAAGAACACCTCTTCGACTCTTCCACACCATTATAATCACACCCAAAACTCTAGGACCTTCAACTGACACCGTCAAATCAAACCCTCTATCTCACCACAAAAGCAAACCCTCTACTTTTTAAAGCAACCCCAAACAAGAAATAGTAATAGTAATTAAGCAAGCCTTAAAGCATTAGTTCTATGTGAAGACACCCAAACGCTATATGGTTTTTCAGCTAAAAATCAGTCAAACTGTTGCAATTGTTTTGAGTGCTACATCTTCAAATGGTGGATTTCTTTGTGGATATTAAGGAACAGTGAGGTAAGCCCACTCAGAGGTGGATTATACTATCAGCATAAAAGATTGCCTTGATGGAATGTTAAAAATAGTAATTATGTAGCCGCCCATATCATTTAAACGAAAAGACTGATTTCTAATTTCCTTTAGGCACCTTATGGTCCCTGATTTTGCTTTGATTCTATTTTGCCTCAGAATATTTATTGCCCTGTTTCAGAATGTCCTTGAGGACCTGTAAGAAGATTTCTTTATTTGCCCTTGATTTATTGATGAACTCGTCTATGAATCATGATGCTGCAAAAATGAAAAAACAGAGGATTGTTCTTGAATCATTGGAAATTCCACATTAAAATTTATATAGTCTGCTAAAACATTATTGGTAAGCAGGTGAGCTTGATGATTTCTGAGTTTGGTAGTGTGTCACTGTCAAGATATCTTCAACTCTTTCTTAAATTTAGACTTTTTAAATTTGAGTAAAAATCTAAAAAATTTGTTCCCAACCCTTGACTCAAACTTATACCAAAATCAAGAGAAACTCAATTTTTTACTCAAATCAAGGAGACTCAAATATTTAATGGTCATCCTTACTCCCTTTTAATTTTGGGTCTCTCCTTCTTTAAATTTAAGTTTGTCCATTAGAGTCCTTTATATCAAATCAAACTTTTTACTCAAATGTTAATTTAAATTTGAGTAAAAATTTGAGTTATGATTAGAAATGCTCTTAGAAACAGGGAGATATTAAGTATAATCTCATAATTAAATTAGCCCGTTTAATAAAGACACTTTTTCTGACTTTACTACTCACATTTTCTCAACACATTCCTTTTTGGGTAAACCAGAATGACGAAGTAATAGGAATTATACTCTCTCATTTGTTCATATCTTATCAGAGAGGTAAGTTCTGGTTACTTTATACAAAGAACACCTCTTCCACAAAATTATAATCACACTCAAAACTCTAAGGACTTCAACCCACACCAGCCAAGCAAACCTTCTACTATTAAAACACCCAAACAAGAAATAGTAATATTAAGCAAACCTTAAGCATTAGTCATATATGAAGACATCCAAATACTACATAGTTTTTCAGATAATAATCAGTCAGACAGTTGCAATTGGACCCAAATTTACAGAACTCTCCATAGCTTTCATTGCTTCAAACCTAGGCTCTTTGGCTTGGAACTTCAGGCCAGCATAAAGCTTCATGTAGTCCTCGAACATGAATTTTGGATACATTTCTTTGTTCTCTGCTTTCTCCACCAATGCCGGTGCTGGATAGATGATTGCATCACTGCCCGGATTGTAGAATGATGCTATGGACATTCTGTTCCCATCTGTTTGAGCAATCACTCGGTGCATCACGCTCTTGTATTTTCCATTGGTGATCACCTTCACACAGATGAGGAAAAATTTAGCTATAAAAATCACATTTTTTTGGACAAGTTTCAATGAATTGGAAGATTGATGGTGTTGAAATATAAATATTTAAGTTACACTCAACCGCTTAAATTTTTGCAGCAGGTGATGGTTTAACGGGTAAATATACCTCAAGTTGGTCACCTATGTTGATGACAATGGAGTGGCGTAGTGGTGGCACATCCACCCATTCGCCATCCTTGAGGAGCTGAAGCCCACTGACTTTGTCGTCCTGGAAGAGAAGGATGATGCCACCGGCATCGGTGTGTGCCCGCAGGCCCTTTATCAGTTCTGGACGCGGGCATGGAGGATAGTTGCTAACCTTGGTGCCAAAGGTAACTCCCTTGGAGCCATAGAAAGCCTTCTTGAGGTACCCTTTCTCTAACCCAAGATTCTCACACAGCAAGTCCAGAAGCTGCTCAGCTAATTTCTCCAAGTCCAGAGCAAACTCCTTCATTGCCTTCCTGTTATCATTTTCACAACAGCAGATTGTAAGTGATTAATCTATAGACAGAAACATAGGAAGGTACTATTAGTACTATGTAGCCGATCCCAAATTGTTGGAACGTGTCTTTTTGAGGACTCTTTAAGTCTTGTTGCTCGNACAGCAGATTGTAAGTGATTAATCTATAGACAGAAACATAGGAAGGTACTATTAGTATTATGTAGCCGATCCCAAATTGTTGGAACGTGTCTTTTTGAGGACTCTTTAAGTCTTGTTGCTCGGAAACTGTAACTAGGTTGTGATGGTCATGTGGCCGACCCTAAATAGTTGGAACATGTTTTCGTTAGTTGGGAACTATTAGCACCGCTATTAGAGGAATGAATTTGTCAATGGAACCTGTGATCGTCTTCAAGATCTGGGATCTCCGAGATGTTTGAAACAGGAAGATGGCGCAAGAAGAAGGTGCTTTCCCAATCCAAATCACCAACTTCACTCTGAGCAGCCTCTAGACCTTTACTTGCCACCATTTCCTTGAACCTTTCTTCCATACACTTCTTGTAGTGCTCTTTTGTCAGCCTCTCCACACGGTCCATGAGCTCATGAGATATCCCATGATTCATCAACTAAAAAATTTACAAGGCACAGAAAAACAACAGATTAGGGCTGAAACCGAGAAAGATGTGGTGATCTCCCATCTTCTAAAGCAAGTGAGAGTGGGAGTCACTTGGTGATTTTGGGTAGAGGACGGAGTCTTTTATGCTGAAGGCCAATGACCTTACGTCCCCAACAGTTGTGAGTTGAGACATAGTAAACTTCTGAGCAAGAATCAGGATACCCATGGGCGGGGCATCTGGGCTCAGCTGTAATGCTCTTCAAAACTAAAATGGCTTTAAACATAGAACAAGAGAGAAGGAATTTGAAAATTTATGGTACCTCAAAAAAGCCCCAGTTCTCACAAGCATCTTTTATCATCTCCATTGTGGCAGCCCTCTGCTCACCATTAAGCTTCTCCATGTTAATGACTGGGAATGTCTCCATCTCTTTCTCTCTCAATGTCTGTCCGTGTATCTATTGTGGGGGTGTAGAAGAGCATTTATAGGCCTTTGAGGGAGGGAGAGAGAGAAGAAAAAGGATAAAGGAGGAGGGTGATCCAATGAAAAATTAAAGTTACAGATCCCAAATATAAGTAAATAAACAAAGGGTAGGAAACAGAACTCGTGGAGGATGTATGTCATCACATCCTGATGGACCCCCCACCAACTTTGGCTGAGTCTGTGGCCATGATCTGTGGCTTATTGATCAATCTCTCTGTCTGTGGTGGAGTGGGGTATAGTATAATTGTTTATTCACCTCCTTTCCTGGGCCTTCACCAACCTGAGGGTGGCTGCTACTTTTTTCATTCAGGCACCATAATCAGGCTTCACTCGATAGAAACTGAACTAATAATCAAATGTTTTAAACAGAATTATTTAAATACTTAATGTGTTGGTGTATAAATCATATAGCTTTAATTTGAGTTTGTTTTTGGTCAAGAAAAAGGAGAGGGGCGATTAGTACTAACCCCTGGGTATGATCATGAGGGTTCCCTACCGTGAAATTTTTGATTTAAATTATAACTAATAATTCGGAAAGACAGTTTGTCAAGAGAGCGCTACCAAAACTAAGTAGCAACCTGTGTTATTTCTGTGAATCAAATCCTACTTGATAACCACATGCAAGTTAAAGACGACTTTAAACGGGTTCGACTTACCCCTAGACCACCAACTCAAATGGTTATAATTTGATTTCAAAAGTCAGATTTCAAATGGGACTTTCAGAGTATGCCTGGTAGCTTATAAAAAACTCGATTTTTTTTTTCAAATGTATAACCCACTAACTAAGGTGAAATTTTTCCATAACGTATTTTATTTTGAAAATAAGACTATTTTCTGTCTGATTTGATCATCTTTCAACCTTTAGGTTTAAATAGAGGCGGCGGTGAGAAAATAATCAAATTTGTATTAGTTATGATGATGAAACAATAATAATAATATGTCTACAATATAAGATGATTATCATGAATATTATATGATTTATTGGGGTCCTTTCAGATGGGGCGTACTAAATAGTTGCATTGTTTTGCACTTGTTTGGATGTCTGAAAGACGATATTACTGACTGTAAGTTTAGTAAAACAAAAAATCTCTTAATCTCCTTCCTTTACGCATTAACATTGCCTAATCCGCAAGTTGCCCACCACATTAAAACATTTCCATTTTTCATGGTTTTTGAAAGGACACTTCACTTGGAAAAACCGACTAGACTACCTATGTCAAGAAGTACCAGAAACATAGGATCTTTTGGGATTTTGCTTTGTGGTTTCTTTAATTTGTCTAACTCTAAGTAATAATGTGGCATTATCATACGTTGACACGGACAACCTACCATTAAACATTTTTTTCGTAGGTAAATGAATTTTATGCTCCCAAAAAAAAAAAAAAGAAAAATTTACCATAGTACTTAGAACACGCTCACAAGGGCACACATNTCCGTGTATCTATTGTGGGGGTGTAGAAGAGCATTTATAGGCCTTTGAGGGAGGGAGAGAGAGAAGAAAAAGGATAAAGGAGGAGGGTGATCCAATGAAAAATTAAAGTTACAGATCCCAAATATAAGTAAATAAACAAAGGGTAGGAAACAGAACTCGTGGAGGATGTATGTCATCACATCCTGATGGACCCCCCACCAACTTTGGCCGAGTCTGTGGCCATGATCTGTGGCTTATTGATCAATCTCTCTGTCTGTGGTGGAGTGGGGTAGNAATTAAAGTTACAGATCCCAAATATAAGTAAATAAACAAAGGGTAGGAAACAGAACTCGTGGAGGATGTATGTCATCACATCCTGATGGACCCCCCACCAACTTTGGCTGAGTCTGTGGCCATGATCTGTGGCTTATTGATCAATCTCTCTGTCTGTGGTGGAGTGGGGTATAGTATAATTGTTTATTCACCTCCTTTCCTGGGCCTTCACCAACCTGAGGGTGGCTGCTACTTTTTTCATTCAGGCACCATAATCAGGCTTCACTCGATAGAAACTGAACTAATAATCAAATGTTTTAAACAGAATTATTTAAATACTTAATGTGTTGGTGTATAAATCATATAGCTTTAATTTGAGTTTGTTTTTGGTCAAGAAAAAGGAGAGGGGCGATTAGTACTAACCCCTGGGTATGATCATGAGGGTTCCCTACCGTGAAATTTTTGATTTAAATTATAACTAATAATTCGGAGGGACAGTCTGTCAAGAGAGCGCTATCAAAACTAAGTAGCAACCTGTGTTATTTGTGTGAATCAAATCCTACTTGATAACCACATGCAAGTTAAAGATGACTTTAAACGGGTTTGACTTACCCCTAGACCACCAACTCAAATGGTTATAATTTGATTTCAAAAGTCAGATTTCAAATGGGACTTTCAGAGTATGCCTGGTAGCTTATAAAAAACTCGATTTTTTTTTTCAAATGTATAACCCACTAACTAAGGTGAAATTTTTCCATAACGTATTTTATTTTGAAAATAAGACTATTTTCTGTCTGATTTGATCATCTTTCAACCTTTAGGTTTAAATAGAGGCGGCGGTGAGAAAATAATCAAATTTGTATTAGTTATGATGATGAAACAATAATAATAATATGTCTACAATATAAGATGATTATCATGAATATTATATGATTTATTGGGGTCCTTTCAGATGGGGCGTACTAAATAGTTGCATTGTTTTGCACTTGTTTGGATGTCTGAAAGACGATATTACTGACTGTAAGTTTAGTAAAACAAAAAATCTCTTAATCTCCTTCCTTTACGCATTAACATTGCCTAATCCGCAAGTTGCCCACCACATTAAAACATTTCCATTTTTCATGGTTTTTGAAAGGACACTTCACTTGGAAAAACCGACTAGACTACCTATGTCAAGAAGTACCAGAAACATAGGATCTTTTGGGATTTTGCTTTGTGGTTTCTTTAATTTGTCTAACTCTAAGTAATAATGTGGCATTATCATACGTTGACATGGACAACCTACCATTAAACATTTTTTTCGGAGGTAAATGAATTCAAAAAAAAAAAAAAAAATTTACCATAGTACTTAGAACACGCTCACAAGGGCACACAGGCTAGTACCCGAAGAGATTTCTCCATCCATACCCGTGCCATTTGTTTGGAAATTTTTTGTAATTGGCTAACTTAAGTTATCGTCATCAATGTTTGTCCATATATCTAAAGAAATAGATAACGTTATGGAGCTTTGCAAACAAAAATTTGTATAGGCAAACACGCTTAATACCTAAAAAAATAGGAAATTAGTTGTATCCAGCAGACATGAATTGGGTCTTGGAACANTGGATGTCTGAAAGACGATATTACTGACTGTAAGTTTAGTAAAACAAAAAATCTCTTAATCTCCTTCCTTTACGCATTAACATTGCCTAATCCGCAAGTTGCCCACCACATTAAAACATTTCCATTTTTCATGGTTTTTGAAAGGACACTTCACTTGGAAAAACCGACTAGACTACCTATGTCAAGAAGTACCAGAAACATAGGATCTTTTGGGATTTTGCTTTGTGGTTTCTTTAATTTGTCTAACTCTAAGTAATAATGTGGCATTATCATACATTGACACGGACAACCTACCATTAAACATTTTTTTCGTAGGTAAATGAATTTTATGCTCCCAAAAAAAAAAAAAAAAAAAATTTACCATAGTACTTAGAACACGCTCACAAGGGCACACATGCTAGTACCCGAAGAGATTTCTCCATCCATACCCGTGCCATTTGTTTGGAAATTTTTTGTAATTGGCTAACTTATGTTATCGTCATCAATGTTTGTCCATATATCTAAAGAAATAGATAACGTTATGGAGCTTTGCAAACAAAAATTTGTACAGGCAAACACGCTTAATACCTAAAAAAATAGGAAATTAGTTGTATCCAGCAGACATGAATTGGGTCTTGGAACGNTTATGATGATGAAACAATAATAATAATATGTCTACAATATAAGATGATTATCATGAATATTATATGATTTATTGGGGTCCTTTCAGATGGGGCGTACTAAATAGTTGCATTGTTTTGCACTTGTTTGGATGTCTGAAAGACGATATTACTGACTGTAAGTTTAGTAAAACAAAAAATCTCTTAATCTCCTTCCTTTACGCATTAACATTGCCTAATCCGCAAGTTGCCCACCACATTAAAACATTTCCATTTTTCATGGTTTTTGAAAGGACACTTCACTTGGAAAAACCGACTAGACTACCTATGTCAAGAAGTACCAGAAACATAGGATCTTTTGGGATTTTGCTTTGTGGTTTCTTTAATTTGTCTAACTCTAAGTAATAATGTGGCATTATCATACGTTGACATGGACAACCTACCATTAAACATTTTTTTCGGAGGTAAATGAATTCAAAAAAAAAAAAAAAAATTTACCATAGTACTTAGAACACGCTCACAAGGGCACACAGGCTAGTACCCGAAGAGATTTCTCCATCCATACCCGTGCCATTTGTTTGGAAATTTTTTGTAATTGGCTAACTTAAGTTATCGTCATCAATGTTTGTCCATATATCTAAAGAAATAGATAACGTTATGGAGCTTTGCAAACAAAAATTTGTATAGGCAAACACGCTTAATACCTAAAAAAATAGGAAATTAGTTGTATCCAGCAGACATGAATTGGGTCTTGGAACAAAAATTCCTTACGTTTTATTAGTTTTTATTATGAATTCTAGTTAGTTCTAAAGGGGAGGATGAGCTTATGTATGAAAATAAAATTTCCATTAGAGTGAAAGATGTTGTGGTTGATAGTAATCCTATACATTTTTCTGGATGAAGGGGACCTTTAAGTTGGGGAAATGTCATCTCTGAAAATGTCTTGTCGGCCTATATCATAAAGTTTAAAGAGTGATAATATTCTCACAGACTCTGGGAGGTGAAACATATTTTTTGTTTATAATCTCGAGGATAAAACAACACATTCTATCCGTGTTCAATCTCATTTTTGTCTCTTAACTTTCAATTGTGTCATTTTAAACTTCTTCAAAATGGTTCTAAATAATAAACAAAAAAAGGGTTAGGTGTCTTTCAATATAAA